TAATCATTGTCGATCTGGTCCTTCAGTCTGAAAGAAAAAGTCCACATTGTTATGTGTAGTTGCTACTTACGCGGAGGTTCTGGTTTTAAACATGGAGTATTAGTAGAGGATAATATGGATTAATTTTTTCGCTGATTAACAGAAAGACAACAGAGACCAGCCAGAGCTTCATAGAGAGGAAGATGCACAAAAAGAAAGATGGCCATGAACATGGTGAAGTACTGATTATCTTCAAGTTCATAAGAAGCAAATTAACAGAAGACTTCGAGAAATTTCGAAACCAGAGTCTCATAAACACTGCTGAAGTTTGTAGGAAGCTCATACACTGCAGGGTGTAATGCCCTTTACAAGCAACCGCCACTTCATCAAAGAACGGGAAAAAGTGAATCAATACCAAGCAAGCAATATGGAAGTAATTTGCAGAGGTCTTTACACTGAATGCCTTTTTTTCAAAAGTAAGCATTCTACCAGAAATGGTCTGGAGACTGAAGGCATAGTTCTAACTATTTATCTGGAAAACTGCAAGAAACGGCAGAAACAACAGTGATATCGCTAGACCGCAAGTAGACACGGTCATATAACTACGAGCAAGTGGACAGTACAGTAAAACATGAAATCTGACTATGGAGAAGTTCTTATGATAACTGCTTGAGTAATGCCACGAAACAATTGAACAAAACAGTCTTTCTTACCTTGACGATGCTCTGTTATTATACTTGTAAGAAGTGGCACCGTCGAGGAATATGGGAGTGGACGCACTGTGACCTATAAAAGGTCTTGTCATGGTGAGCTAGGAATATGAGTTGAGTGTTACTTACTTAGGGTGCACAAGCGTCCGCTGAAATGCCCAGAGCACAGGCATATAAAATTGTCACATTTTTGAATACATGTTCCATCATTTAGACACGGATTTGGAAAGCAAGGTGGGCCAACAAATGGCTTTATTCCTGTATGTAAAATGTCTTTCTGAAATGCAATGAGTTCACTTCATCGTAAAATACGGTGCCTCTTTTCATTACCTTTGTTAAGAGATTACGACGACCTTCACCTAACTGAACGCTTTGAATAGCTCCTTGGAAGCCAGGCAAAGTTCGAAATGCATGATGCAGAATATCCCTGTTTGGTACATATCCAATGAATAACAGATTTCGGTTGACATTCAGCTGAGTCAAAGGAGGCTGAAAGCAAAGGACTCAATTAGACTATAGAACATTAGTCACATACCGCGCTTTCGCCGCTGCCCAGCACTTCGCCATCCAAAATCAGGGAACAACTACGTGCATGTCTACTCACTGTCACATGATGCCACTTTTTAAGATCGACATTTTTTCGCGTCCTGAAAATACCATTGCATTACAATGCGTGATTTTTTTCTACTGTTACCGTATTTCTGTGATTCCAGATCCTAAGTTAAAAGCGAATCGCAATTTCGCTTCAACAAGAGATAGTAAAATGAAATCTCCACTCCCGTGTTTATCTTCTTCGTTTAAACTGGCCGCATAGAGAATAATGCCATTGATGTTTGATGGGTATAACCAGGCTTCTATAGAAAATACGTTCTCCAGATCAGATAAAGATTCTTGTACCACAATGAAGCTTTTTCCAGAAAATTCCGGGACGCTGTCATAGAAAGACGTTTCGTCTAGAAAATGAAGAGATATTCATAATATGTAGAGTTATTAAGAAAATGTAAATTGACAATTAAAACACAATAAGCACGACATAACTAACACGAGTGTAATACAATTCAGTCAAATTATTGCCATTCACTGTCCAGAAGATAGACAACGAGAAGTACGTCAACGGATGCTATTTCTCCCGTTTTTTTTGCGTTTCTAATGGCAAGAGGAATATTTCATTTCTTCTGTTGCCTGACTCCTCCTTTCAATGCTGCATTGGGCTTCATCCCTAATGCATGAACGGGAGCTACCCGTTTGACAGAAATTATTACCGAAAGAGATAATCATGAAGACCGATAAGGCAAATAGAAAGGATAAACAGCTAACTGCGTTTTTGAGAGTACAACAGTTGCAAACAAGGAACCCCAGCCAAAATCGATCGATTCCCAGGGTTAATTATTATCAGAAACGTCTCACTAGGGATTTAGCATTTCAAAGATCTCCGATTTGTCCTACTGATCCTGTGCCAGCACCAAAAATTACTGCAGACACACTTACGAAGAAAAAAAAATTCAAAACGTCTTGAGATATTTCAAAATAAAGTTGTCCTGATATGAGGATCGAACTTTTAGAGTGAATAAGATATGGAGGATGGATAGCAGGAAAGCTGCGCAATCCATTTCGTCAAATACGGAATTCAAAAAATGGATGGATGGACAGAAGTGTGGCGATATTCAGCAGGGCTTTGCATTCGACAGACTGTTCTAAATATTGTGACAGTTTGATAATACCTGAATGCTAAGATTATCTCTTGAGAACTAAATGTTGTGGATCATTATGGAAACGATGGAGCCAGTTAATGGACGGGGGACAGTAACGCGATGGGATAGTAGATTCCTTCACATTTTAAAGGTGTCGTGTTCAAACGCTGAATGGCGTAAATATTCTCTTACGAAATTCTCTCCCTTGAGCATGGAACTCACCCCATTTTGCATTGGTGCAACTCCAAAAAACAGAAAACATTATTGGCCGGCAGATTTCTTTAAGACTGGCCTGAAGAGCACCAGGCGATATATATGACTTTCAAGACGAAGTCACAGAGGTTAACATACTTCAAAAGTGACAAGACTGCTGGAATCGAAGAAATCCACCATGAGATGTTTAAAACTACAGGTGAACAAGGCGTGTTGCGGCTAACCACTGTCTATTCAACTGCAATGCAACGGGGAAGACACTGTTGGACTGGAGAACGCAGTAACAGCACCCCTATGCAACAACGGAGACCATAGGGACTGTTCCAATTATTGAGCCTTACCTTATTAAATCTCCCGGGAAAACTGTATACAAAGGTGCTAAAAAAAGGGCCAGCGGAATAGCTGACTTTAAGCTCTAAGAAGAATATAGTCGCTTCAGGTCAGGCGAAAGCACCCCGCACCACGTTTTCAAGTTAGGCAATTTACTGAGAAATCATGAGAATTCGCTCACCCAGCACACTTGTGCTCTGTTAACCTGGAGAAAACCTAGGAACGGATTCCGCTCATACGCATGCCTGCAAGCATATGGGACCCATGGCGAGTTGCTGCGAGCCACTTAGTCACTGTATGTTGATAGCAGACCCTGCATCAGAGTAAATTGCATTACGGCGAAACCTTTCAACGTTGACAGTAGTCTCCTTCAAGGCTGCGTTCTGTTCTCTCTTCTGGTGCATAAAATAGCAAGGCGCAGCCATGGCGAAGAATGCACTGGTTTAGAAGATGTAAAGAGGAGTAAGTTGCTTGTTTGGAGACATCCTTCTTGTGTTGCAATCTTCTGAAACTGATCTCAAATGTTCTCTGGAAAGGTCTGCAGCTAAGTGCGACATGGCCGGCATTCGTTCTAAAGCCGATTGCTTTCTCGTTCTCCTGCCTGCTGAACTTCGCAGGTAAAGAGAGTACCAGTGGAACATGTAAAGTAATTCATATTCCGCCGATTCATACTGGTGATTTGAAATGGGAGGAATAGATCGACCGGAGAATAGGAATGGCCA